AGGACGAAACTGAAACTAAGAGGCCAAAACCGAAACTAAGCAGCCGAAACCGAAACTAAGCAGTTGAAGCCAAAACCAAGAGAGAACCGAGACCGAGAGTCGGAACCTGAGAGCCGAGACCCAGAGCCGAACCTGAGAACTGAGACCGAGAGTCGAGACCGAGAGCCGAACCTAAGAGCCGGACTTGCTGAAATCGAGACCGAGCCTCACATCTTCTCTTCTTTTTCCCAATTTCTGTCCTTTCCACCTTCCCCTTTCAGTCCTTCTCTCACTTTCGGTTCTAATGAATAGGATCGAACCTCCAGCCCTAAAATTCAGATTTTTGACACTTTTCACCCATTTTCAATATTTTTAACATATTCAGCCCGTTTTTCGTGATTTTAACGCGGGATTTTCACCCAAACGCGTATTTTAACATAATAAACCCTAAATATTCATAATTTAATCATGTTTTCATGAAAATCTTTACTTAAAGAATAAAATTTAGTGGGTACAGTACAAGAAGGTGGAGTGTTGATTTATCTTTAACTTATGACACAAGCAAATTCTCACACCCACTCCATGACCATCCATACTCCTCCTATCATCCCCAGGTCTTGTCAATGTGCTTTTTCATCATTTCTAACTTTTTTCCACACTACTAAAGCTGGACACTCATCCTTTCTCCTCATTTTCACTCACTTGCTTTCATTTCACCAAAGGATCAAACACATCTTTTCTCTCAAATTCTCTCATATAATTTCGAGATTTCCAAATCATTTTTTGTCACACCCCAAAAATCGAAGGCGGAAACATGTCCGGGGCGGACCCCATGTTGAGCATCAAATCCAATGCACATAGTAAGTAAAGTAAACAACCATTACATTACATATAGAAATTTACATTTGTTCCAAAAGTAAAGTTGTACAGTGTTATACATATGTATATATAAACAAAAGCAAGACGTGTCTTCGATGCACTCCGAGTTCGGCAAAAGGATCATCGGTACTTGTATAAAGCGGACCTGAGAATACAAGCAGTTTGAAAATCAGCATAAAGCTGGTGAGTTCATAAGTGGTTTTGTTTTGTGAAAATGTATGAGTTTCCTTTTGGTTTCTAAAAATGTTACGACCCAAGAAAATCCCATATTTTCTTAAAAGTAATGTTTGGTTAACTGTTATGTTACACGTTAGGTTACACAGTTTTGGTTATGTTTAACTGTGATCCCACGAAAATCCCATATTTTCCTAATGTGAAAGATGTATACTGAAAACCTGGTTATCCTTGTAGAGTGCATGTTAGTTTACCAACCCGAAATGTAATGTAAAAGATGTACATTGAAAATGTATTAGTTTTAACACGTTTATAAAACTAATAAACACCAAGTAAATTGGTTACTAAACCGATTATTACTAAAATGTAAATCTCTGTTATCCAAATTGCGAGTTCCATAACCATAAAATAGACTAGATATGGAAATATGTAGTCCACATCCTTATGACTTTCGTCACCCTTGAACCTTTTGGTTCGGCTGTAGCTAGCAGCCAGGTGTGGGGTAGTCAGCCCCGTATAGATCTATACACTCAAGTCACACTCCCTATCTTAGAGATTTTGGTTACAGGGGCGGCCCTCCACTCGTGTGTCTCTGTGGAGTGTTCACCGAGTACGTGTCTCCAATTTATAGGAATAACAAATTTACTAGTAATAATACTGAAAGATCAAATGACTATCCTCCACTCACGTATCTCTGTGGAGTGTTACCGAGGACAAAACCATGTTTAAATTGTATGCTTCTAACTGTTATAATGTGGGAAAACATTTGTGAAAATATAAAATACAACAATTTATACTGTTTTTCACAAATAATATGATAATGTATTCTGTATGTTCAAACGGTTACTTGTTACGACTGTCAGTGTTAAAAGCATATGTAATATCAAACATAACACATATAAAAACAAGTTTTGAGTACAAGTATTTTATGTACTTTTCTTGTATTCACCCCCCCTGAAAACAGTGAACACATTGAAAATGGGTAGGGGTATGAACTCACCAGACTAGTAAATGTGACGGTTTGGATGCTAAGCGATGGTTCGGGGCTTGATAACACGCGAGGTTCCTATGTAATATGAAATAATATCCAAAGGTATCTAATTAGACTTTAAAACACTAATTAGATATGATAATACACTCCAATGAGCGAAAACACTTCAAATCAAGTGTTTGGAGTGACCCGGGTGACATCTACGGACGTGTGGGTCTTGGGAAATGAGTTTACTCTTCAAGAGTAAACTCCTTATGGAGTTTTCGGCCCTAAACATGGAGTTTACAGCCGTAAGCTCCTATACCCTTCTTAGATTGATGATTTAATTGCCTTAGACCAATCACATGTGATTCAAACAATTTTTACAAGCCTTAGGATGAATTTTGGGCACCATTTGACTTATCTTAATGAGTTTACGGCCCTGGAACCTATCCTTGGGGGGTTATGGACATAAACTATCAAATGAAGAGTTTTTATTTTTTTTAAGGTTCCCAAATTGATTTTGGTTTTTTCTAGGATTTATTCCAAGGCTAATGGTGTGTTTACATGGCTTTTAAACACTTGAAAATGAGTTTAATCTCCATGAGGATGAGTTTACGGCCCAAGCATGTTCTTGGGCAGTAAAATCATGTTTACTCCTCAAAAACTATGTTTAAGGTGTTCCAAGTCCGAATTGGTAAGCCATAAAGTCATATCTAAGTCCCAAAGTTGGTTTGGATGGGGTTTAAGGCTCAAAAACCCAGTTTATTTGAGTTTATAGCCCAAGCATGCTCCAGGGCTGTAAACTCATGAAGATCACTACTAGAAAACAGCCCTTTAATGACGCGCAAACAATGACATGCGCTGATAGACGACGCGCATTTGTGCGTGCCCTAGAAAATAATGTCAGTTTAGCAAAATTTGAATGATAGTGGACACGCATTTTTGTGTGCCCCTAAAATTAGTGTCCAAAAAAAATTAAAAACACGGAGGGCACCTATCCTAAGAAGCGTGTCGTGTTACCATGTCGCTTTATAATTTTAGTCTCTGGGCGCGCGTTTTCATTTTTTGGGGGGAATGAAATCCAAAATAATTAAAAACCCCGCTTTCGTCTCCTACTTCCAAAGGAACGCTCACCTCATCAGACTCACCACCATCTCTCTCTCTCTCTCTCTACAATTCCCCTCCATGGTACAGACCACCACTATCTTGCACCACCGCCATGGTCGTCGCAACTACATATCACCACCTGCAACCTCAACACAATTGACCATCACCACCATTCCTACCATCCATCGCTACCCTACCATCTTCTCCATCACCACGTCTTTCTTGTTCCATGTGAAACCCTAAAATCGGTGCCAACAAGTAATAGGGTTTGGAGAAAAAAGTTGATCTAAGAAAAATCAAAGCAAACGACTTAGAATATTTTTCCATATACTCGTACAAAGCTGCTCAGGTAGGTTATTTCCTAAATTTTGTCTTTAATTGTAAATATATTTTCTTCGATTTTAACCTTAGTTTGTCCCCCCCCTCCCATTTGGATTCAGGTTTTTTGTGTGATTGGAGATGTTTCCTTTTTTACATTGGATTCAACCATTGATATAATCAAATCTATTCATATTCTGAACCACCACATCAGATGATGTAGTGTACTACTGACCGACTCAGTGAGTCAGTGAGTAAGATGTTTGATTAACTAAACTGGAAATGGTATGTGGTTCAGGTGGCTCATCCAGGCAAAATTGCAATTGGGGGACATTCTTACGGGGCGTTTATGACTGTAAATTTGTTGGCGCATGCCCCTCATCTTTTCAGTTGTGGCATTGCTTGTTGGTTTAATCCAGAGGGTATTTTGGGAAATTTAAGTTTATTTAGTAGCTTGACACTTTCAAAAGGAAATGTTAGCCATATTTCCTTTTCTTTAGGCGTAATCAAGAAGTGGGTTAGTTGCCCCATTAGTTTAGGAAGCATTTTCCTTATTTTCCTTTTAAATATGTAGTCGATTTCCCAGTCAAGTATTCGAATGAAAAAAACAGAAAATTAGCCCCACTCATTTCTTTTCAACCCTGCAGTAAAGTGAGTTTTTTTTGCCCCCACCTGAACAGGCCTTTCTTGTTCTTTGTGATTACCCTGTGAATAAAGCTCTTACCTATCCTGTGTAAAAGACAATATTTTGCATGGAGCATTTTTGTGGATTCATGACAGAACCGGGAGGCTGCTGATGAAAGTCACAAGATTAGGAAACTGTTTGTACAAGATAGCCTTGAATGAGATTCAAGGGAAATGCTTACTCGGCAGTGAAGAAGGCTGCTGATGAAAGTCACAAGATCAGCAAACCATTTTTGTGCCTTCACTTTGTCCTTTGTGTTGTGCAGCTTTCCCAGAAGGCTGTTAATTCCAGTTTTGCCCTTCCTGTCTTTCATCTGTTTTTGTCCGTTGTTTAGGTTACTTTCCTATGTCCAGTTTCCTATTTTGGTGAAAAAGACTTTTGTTGCCCCTGCAAAAAGACCAACATTGCTCGCTTAGGAGCTTATAATAGAACACTTAAACCTTTTGGGCTTCAGGTAAGACATACATACTTTGATTTGGTCTTTGGTTGCTTTTTGCTCATTTGTAATTTATTATGTTGTTGACTTTTCTGTAAACGAAAATATTATCATTTTTCAGCAAACAAAACCCGTATTATTATTATTATTATTATTATTATTATTATTATTATTATTATTATTATTATTATTATTATTATTATTATTATTATTATTATTATTATATGATGGTGGTCAGGAAAAGGAAGTTACTGTAGGCATCCTGAGATCGGTCTTTGTTGTGGTTGGAGATCATGGGTTGACTGCTCTATGGATTACTTTGCAAACCTAATTGAAATGTAAGATTTACTATTTATAAACTTCAGTTTGATTGATACATAACTAAATATGACATTATCTCATTTTTTATTTTTTTATTATTTTTTTTATGGATAATTAATTCATTAGAGATGCTTGGTGGTGTGAGTTTGGGAGAAGAAGGCATCCTGACATTTGTCTTTGCTGTTGTTTATTTGTCATTGAATAAAGGTGGAAATGATAATGATGTATCATCTGCATCAAGGTATGATTCTTTTTTTGCATCTTGATTTTATATTTTGTATGGTGTATTTTCTTATACTATGTAAGTTTATATATAATTCAGGCTTCTGTCATTGGGCACCCATTTCTCTAAAAAAAATGATATGTAGATATGGATCATTGCAGCATATTGGAAGGCACACTAATGTTGCTGCTGTCTTTGGTAAATTTAAATTTGTTCTCCCATTGTATTATTATATGGTGGCTTGGCTTTTACTTTATGTTTCTTGTGTGTTTTATTTGATAGCAGGTCAAGGTGGCAATAAAAACTTATACAATGAAAAGATTGCAGGAGAGGCTAAAGACATGTAAGAAAAAGATTACCTCTAGTAGTAAACCAATAAATGTTAGCTTGTGCATCTCATATGCTATTTCTTGTGTTTAGGTCTAAAAGAAAACATGACTTACCAATGTATATTCATGACCAAAGTATATATTTGTGTCTTCTGGCAACATTGTTAGCTTTTCTAGGGAAGAATGCATCTGATCATACACAAAACAAAATAGGACAACTTTTAACAGTTCTGTTATGCACATGTAATGCAGTTGTATGATTGTATACAAGGCTAAAAAAGGGAAACTAAATAAATCCTAAATATGGTGTCTAAATAACAATATGGAACTAAGAAACATATATCCAATATGTTTATGCAAAAACATCCATGTGTCACCATCATTCAAGTTGATATTAATTTTGTGTATTATCTCATATGCAACCTACTTTCATTAATTTTGTGTATTGGCACGAGGGGTATTTCCGTTATTTGGGTACCCGCTGGTGGTCAACTCGGCTGTTTACATGTTTGTATGGGTGGGGTGTTTGAGTTTTAGTTACTTAATGAGATGCACTATACGTACAGGAACTTCCACTACAGTGCACAAAATTCAGAACATGTAAAGAAGAGGTAAACTTCTACTTTTAGTTTTCTTTTCTTTTGTTTTTTTTTCATACAGACTTGGTCATGTTTAGTTACATGCCACCTCATCTTATTCACTTTGGATTCTCTATGGTTCTCTCTTCCTACCTGCTTTACTTTTTGCAGCTAGAGTCACTTCTACGGTTCGTATTGCAAATGTAGGTACATTCTCTACCCATTTGACCCATTGGAAATAAAATATATCCCAAAATGACCAATTTTCCCTTTCTATTTTTTCAGGCTATGGGTAGCCAATCTATGGATGAGTTGTCAGAGCTATCTGGAGCAGACATGGTTGGCTTTTTAGATATTGTCATATATAGTAATAAAATTGTTTAAAAAATAGTTCTAAGTGATGCAGACATTGTATAGAAATTCTTGTTCTTCCCTATGTGTCCATTTGTACAGATAAGTTGTATGATATTAACTTTTGTGCAATGGATTGTATTTTTTGTATATGGTATTTTATTTTCTATTATGAGACATGAAATGCAAATTTAATTTGAAAATCAGTAAATCTATAAATAATATTTTTTAAAAAATTTAATATTACGATACGCAAAAATGTGTGTCATCTTCATTTATGACATGACCTTTCTTGACAGCGGCTTTAATGATACGCATTGCATGTCATAAATGTACGTCGTAAATGCGCGTCGTCTATAGGCGACGCGCAAAAGAGCGTCGTCTCTCGTTATGACAGGGCCTTCCTTGACGCGCATTTGCGCGTCGTCTGAGCGTTTTATGACGCGCAATGATCGTCGTAAAAGGCCTTTTTTCTAGTAGTGGATGGTCCTAAATCAAAGATTAAACATGAATTTGAAGGCTAATGGTGCCATAATATGAGTTAGGGAAGTTACCTTGATGAATTTGAGCCTTAAATTGGTGTTTTTGGACCTAATTCTTTGGTTTGAGGAGAGAGGTTAGAGAGAGAGTAGTGAGAGAGAGAAACAACTTCAAATGGAAGCTTAAAGCTCTTTAAATAGGTGCTAAGTTATGGACACGGTGGAATTCTACCCGATACCGACGTTATACGGGGCTTTTTGTCACACCCGATCAAGTTGCCGTAACCCGATATGGTAAATTCTAAAAATTTTCCAATTACTAGAATGGGGTGTTAAAATGAGTTCAAAATGCGTTGGGACACCCATTAAGTCATAATAATAATCTCAAATTAATGACTTAATTTAATTGCGTAAACGGAAACAAAATTGAAAATGATGAATACATTATCGAAATGGGTAACGAAAAGGATTACAAATAATGGTACGAACTTCGGGTTGTCACATTATCCCCCCGTTATAGGGAATTTCATCCCGAAATTCAGAATTAAGATACAAATCATAGATCTGGAAAGAGATGTGGATACTTCTGTTTCATTGAGTCTTCACTCTCCCAAGTGAATTCCGGTCCCCGCTTGGTATTCGAACGAACCTTCACTATCGGGATGCGGCTTTGCTTTGTACATTTGACATCTCGATCCATGATTTCGACCGGTTCCTCCACGAAGTTCAAGTTTTCGTTGATCTCGATCTCGTCTAAAGGAATCACTAGGGTTTCATCGGATAAACACTTCTTGAGATTTGAGACATGGAAGACGGGATGGATGTTACTGAGCTCATGAGGTAATCAAAGTTTATAGGCTACAGGACCGATCCTGGCGAGGATCTCGAAGGGTCTAATGTACCTTGGATTAAGTTTTCCACGCTTTCCGAAGTGTACCATGCCTTTCCAGGGCGAGACCTTCAACAGGACACGGTCTCCAACCTGGAATTCCAGAGGTTTCTGGCGATTATCTGCGTAACTCTTTTGACGATCTCGCGGAGCTTTTAATCGTTCCAGGATTCGAATGATCTTCTCGGTGGTTTCGAGGATGATTTCAGGACCAGTGAGAGCACTTTTAGGGACTCGACTCTTGGCTAACTGCGTGTCCCCTGCCTCGGCCCAGCATAGAGGGGATCTACACTTACGACCATAGAGGGCTTTGAATGGGGCAGCCTTGATGCTGGTATGGTAACTATTATTGTACGAGAACTCGATCAAAGGCAAATGTATGTCTCATGCCTTTCCGAAATCGATGACACATTCCCTAAGCATGTCTTCAAGGGTTTGGATAGTTCTCTCACTCTGTCCGTCGGTCTGAGGGTGATAGGCCGGGCTCATGTCTAGTTTAGTTCCAAGAACCTTCTGAAGAGACTGCCAAAATCTGGAGGTAAACCTGCTATCTCGATCATAGATAATGGACACAGGTACACCGTGCAGTCGAACTACCTCCTGGATTTAGATCCGTGCGAGTCTTTCCATTTTGACCGATTCTTTAATCGGGATCAAGTGAGCGGATTTTGTCAAGCGATTGATAATTACCCAAATGGTATCGTACCCACTCGGAGACTTGGGTAACTTGGTGATGAAATCCATGGTAATCATCTCCCATTTCCACTCGGGTATCTCGGGTTGCTGGAGCAGACCCGAGGGTTTCTGGTACTCAACTTTCACATTGGCGCAAGTCAGACACTTGCCCACAAATGTAGCGATCTCAGCTTTCATGTTCGACCACCAGTATTGTTTCTTGAGATCCAGGTACATCTTATCCGAACCCGGGTGAACAGAGTATATGGTCTTGTGTGCTTCCTCCATGACAATCTCCCTGAATCCTCCGGACTTTGGAATCCAGATTCGGTCCATGAAATAGTAGACTCCGTCACCTCTGATCTCAAGTTTCTTATCCATTCCCCTCAAGGCTTCGCTTGATTTGTTCTCGGGTTTGAGAGCTTCTATCTGGGCATCTCGGATTTGCATGGATAAATGGGAATGAATAGTCATTGTCAGTGTCCTCAGTTTACGGCTTGAGTTTTCCTTTCGGCTAAGGGCATCTGCTACCACATTGGCCTTGCTGGGATGGTAGGGAATCTCGCACTCATAATCGATGAGCAGCTCTACCCATTGCTGTTGCCTCATATTTAGGTCTTTCTGATTGAGGATGTTCTGTAGGCTCTTATGGTCAGTGAAGATCGTACACTTGGTTCCATAGAGATTTTGTCTCCAAATCTTCAGTGCAAAAACTATGGCTCCTAACTCCAATTCGTGCGTGGTATAGTTGACCTCGTGTGCTTTCGGCTGTCTTGAGGCATAAGCAATTACTTTTCCTCTTTGCATAAGCACACAGCCTAAGCCCTGATTAGACGCATCACAATAGACAACAAAATCTTATGTCCCTTCGGGTAGGGACAGAACAGGTGTGCTACACAAGGCTTGTTTAACGTCTGGAACACGGATTCTTGCTTTTCACTCCAACAAAAGGGTACACCTTTCTGTGTTAGAGTGGTTAGGGGTTTGGCGATTTTGGAAAAATTCTGGATGAATCTCCGATAATAGCCAGCGATACCCAAGAATTGATGGATTTATGTGGGTGTCTTTGGTGCTGACCAATTCTCTATTGCTTTAATCTTAGAAGGATCCACATGAATTCCCTCCTCGCTTACCACGTGACCTAGGAAAGTTACCTTCCGGATCCAGAATTCACACTTGAAAAATTTCGCGTACAGCTTCTTGGATCTAAGGCTTTCTAACACAAACCTCAAGTGTTGTTGTGATCTTCTTCACTTTTGGAGTAGACAAGGATGTCATCAATGAACACGATGACGAATTTTTCTAAGAAAGGACGACACACCAGGTTCATCAGGTCCATGAACACAACCAGTGCATTGGTTAGATCGAATGGCATCACTACGAACTCGTAGTGTCCATACCGAGTCTTGAAAGCTATTTTGGAAACATCGCTCTCATGAACTCGTAGCTAATGGTACCTTAATCGAAGGTCTATCTTCGAGAAATAGCTGGCTCCCTGAAGTTGATCGAAGAGGTCATCTATTCGCGGAAGGGGATATCGGTTTTTGACGGTCAACTTGTTCAGCTCGTGGTAGTCAATACATATCCGGAAGGATCCATCTTTCTTCTTTACAAATAAAACCGAAGCTCCCCAGGGTGAGGAACTCGGTCTGATGAACCCTTTACTGAGTAACTCGTTGAGTTGGCTGGATAACTCCTACATTTCTGCTGGAGCTAGACGATATGGAGACTTGGCTACGGGGTAGCTCCAGGAATTAGGTCAATGCGAAATTCGACCTGACGTTCGGGAGGAATTCCTGGGAGCTCTTCTGGAAACACATCAGGAAAGTTACAGACTTCAGGGATGCTCACGAGGTCTTTAATCTCCTGTTTCTCATTGATTACATGGCCTAGGAATGCTTGGCATTTCTTTCGCAAGAGTTTCCGAGCTTTGATGCAGGAAATGATGCAAAGGTTGGAGCTGAGTTTATCGCCATAGATTATGAGAGTTTGACCCGTAGGAAGATTGAGACAGATTGATTTTTCGTAGCAAAGGATATCAACATGATTGGGACTCAACCAATCCATGCCAATGATAACATCAAAGCTCTTAATGGAGACTGGCATAAGATCGATGGTAAATGAATGATCGTTCAGGGTAAGGATAGAACCTATGAATATGTCGCGAGCGCTTTCTTTCTCACCGTTAGCCATCTCGACGGTAAACGTTTCGGTTAATGGTTTGGGGTTAGGTTTTAGATTATGTTTAAACGAATGACTAACAAAACTTCTTTCAACACCCGAATCAAAAAGAATACTAGCATAAGAGTTGTCGAGAAGGAACGTACCTGAAACAACGGTGGGATCGATGACTGCCTCCTCCCGTCGCATGCCTAGGACTCTCCCGGTATTATCAATTGTTGCCTTTTGGGGAAGTTCCTCTTGTAATGCCCAAATTCTCCACAATTATAGCAGGCTTGACCAACACCTGCTCTAGAAGATTTGTTGGTTGATTGGGCTGGTGCCTTGCAGAATCGGACCGTATGCCCCTTTTTACCACAGTTGGTGCATGATACTCATGGCAGGGGCCAGGGTTTTGGTGGTACTTGCACTTTTCACACAGAGGAAGGTTACCAGCATACCAACTGGTAGGGGTTTGAGTTGTAGATCCGACAACAGAAGCAGCAACAACGGGGTAGTAGCAGCATGGATTGCTACACTCTGTTGTTTCTTTGAGGATCCTAGGGAAGGTTGGCCTTTCTTCTTCTTCTAGAACTTCCTCTTTTCACCACTAGTCTTGGTCGGTTCGTGGGTGGCAGTTGTTCCCTCAACTTCATCACTGTGGTCAATTAGGATCTGGGCTAAACTTTTGGCACTATCATATGTATCCGGCCTTGTAGATAAGACGTTTCCTTTGGTCGGTTGGGTTAGCCCCCAAATAAATCTCTCTATTTTCTTGCTCTCCGGGGTAGCCATTCC